CGACACGTTGAGTTAGATGGTATTTATAAACATATCAAAGAACGATGGAAAAGACAGAAGCCGCACGACAGACACTAACTGAGGCCACACCCACCAATCACGTCTCACTCTATATGACCATTGAAATTTTTCGGCAGTTTTGAAATTTTAGTTGTTCATTGCACTTTTCCTGTTAGTCCGAAGACGAGTTGGGGAGCCAAACTCGAAAATTCACTCTTTAAAGTTACTTTTTATCCTTAAGAACATCTTATTAGGTCTTATCCTATCCTATGCTCTGGAAAAGGACTCGCATGTTCCTTTGTATTGGCATGGATGCGTGCTGATGCGTTAAACAGCTCCATTCATCTCTGACTTAGTCTGGAATTATTCAGAGCATCTGACGTTACTCGGTGTGTGCCAAGCTTAGCGTCTTCAGCTCCCTACAACAGAGCTATACATCCACTAACTTTATTCAGGTCTCGTCCACCCTTCGGGGCACTTACTGTGGTAGGGATGAAGAGGGATGAGGGATGATGTATAATAAGGTCATAAGCACAATTAGTAGTCAACGAAAATGATCACAAATACCCTCATACAACCATAACAAGTACTAAGCTAAGAAGAATGACAGAAAAACATAAAGGAGGTATAACAATCAATTGCGGTAATCATCTTCCTCCCTGCCGAGAAAAAGAAGAGCGAACAGACGCAGCCGAACTTCCAAAAAAGGTGGATAAACGTACCGGAAGAAGGCGTGGTGCTCCACGCAAGAACTGTAGAGTCGTTTTGCAAGGGCTGTCGTGCCACAGGTAAACTTGACCTCACGCATGGCGTCGGCAGTCTGGAAGGGGCAGAAACAAACAGTTATTCCATAAATTGTTTTTTACAGACAGACTGGGGGTAAAGATTCACGATCTGGATGACGACATGGGATAGGGAGGGGAGGGTTGTTGCTGCGGTTGTTGACACGGGCGCATGTTCGGAAAGGCTTTTAAGGCCGAAAGGATGAGGTAAATGGACTACTAGGCTCAAGCGTATGAGAGTGTTAAGTGGAGGACCATCAGTTATCAACTGACATTCGAAAAGATTTGGCTTTGGTTCGAACAGAAAGTTCTGGGTGGAAGGAGCTATAAGGTTGGTTATCCTACAGATCAATGCCGAGAGATTTCAACCATCATACCAGCTTCTTAATGAGCTTTTTCCAGCCATCAGCAACAACCGCTAAAGTAGACTGCACTTTTTGCAGGGATTTTTTTGGCCTTTATAAATGCACATGAGCTGAAACTCATGTAAAATTTCGAAATTTGCGGAACATTGATAATAATTCAAAAACGTGCACTAACGCATCTACGAAAACCTTGAAATAATATAGAACAACCCTGAGCGCATTTTTACGTTAAAAGAAATATAAAAAATGCTATTCTTTGTTTAGGAAACTCAATTTCTTTAAATCAATCAATCAATTTCTTTAAAGAATCCTAAAGTTCCGCAAACGTGCAAAAGAGTAGCTATAAATTAGGCGAACGCGCCCAAAAGCCTGCCACCTTAACTGCAGAAAAGAAAGACGTGTTCATAAGACTGCC